CAGAGAGCCCAATGCAGGGCTCGATCTCAGGACCCTGAGATCATGACCTGAGCCGAAGGCAGAGGCTTTAACCCACTGAGGCACCCTGGCGCCCCAGGCAGCAGACTTTAAAGTGTTGCAACAGCTATAGGAGAGTTCTGAAAGAGAGTCAGCATTCTGGGGTTGAGGCATTGACCTGGAGGATGCAGTTTCTTCCGTGAACCAGGAAGCAACACTTGCTTCTGCAGCTTAGCCAGAATCTAAAGGTTCAGGGACCAAGGAACTGAGAGTGGTGTTGGTTATGGGTAAGCCTACTGCCAGTTTCGTGCAACTCCAATTGTGGTTCGTGGACCAGCACCACTGGAATCACCTAGGAGCTTCTTAGAGATGCAGCATCTCAGAACTCACCCCAGACCTAATGGATCAGCACCTGCATTTTAATAAAATCCTCTAGTCATTCCATGTGCACATTGCAGTTTGAGAATCACTGGTCTAACAGACTCACAACATTTTTGTGTTTTACCTTTAAATCTCTGAGTTCTGCTGTTTAATTCTTACAGTACCTGAAGGGTGGGTGCTTTCACCAGGGATACAAAATGATTCCAGTGATGTGGAAGCAGAAACGACACTCCTACCTGGCCATTTCAGGACCATGATGTCTCTAGGAAATAGATGTCTCTAGGAACTGATCCTGATTACCAGGGGGGAACAGGGTTGCTGCTACACAATGTGGCAGGAAGGAGGGTAGATGGGAATTAAGGAGCCTCTGGAGGGATCTGGGTGGGATCCCTTGTGTGAGTGAGTACCGCCTTGCTCAGAGGTGAGAGTCAATGGATCATCACTACAACCTTACACAGGCAAGACCTTTGCTAAGGCCTCCGGCTCCCCACAAAGGAAGACTCAGGCCACAGCCCTGGGTAAGGAATCCCACTCACTAAAGCTCTAACTGAAGACAAAAAGAACATGAATTAGATGGTAGAAGAGGGAAGTAATAGGAAAAACTGTGAAAGAGTTTAGAATGGGTGATCTGTAGAATGCTAGATGCTGTCCAGAGCCTCCTTCTGAATTATCTTGCTTCTATAGGTGTCTTGTTTTTCAATATCTTTGAACTATTTTACAACTTTTTAAGTTACAGAAAACTGACTGCAATGCAAATGATTTTGTCTAGAGGTGCAAATAAATTTTGTCCAATGGAGGTGCAACTGATCTCCCTACCCTCCTCCAAAATCAGCTAAATATCTATTAACAAATTCATTTAATCGTTCCTGATTTCTTAGATACATCTGCTCTTTGGAGTCTCCTTTGAATTTTTTTTAAATACCTTTATTGGTTCCCTTATTAATTAATGAGTTAAGTAAAACTTTCAACATGTGTCAACTTTATTTTTGTACAAGAGTCATGATTTGACCCTTTTAAAAAATCATCTTTTAACAAAACATGAATACCAGCTATGAACTCAAGACTACTTGCATGACTAAGAACTATAACTTCTATCCATATTTTCTTCCTTTCTGTATCATGTATAGATTTAAATATTTTAACTAGTTTTATTTTTATGTATTCTCTTTCTCCCCCTCATATAGCATATGTCTATATACTATAGGGGTATGTCAGTGATGGTTCACTTGACAATTTAATTTTTAGAGTGCTGAATATTAAGATCAGAGCCAGAGGAGGAGAGGTCTTTGCCAGAGATACTGGACTGGTGCTGGATTCAGCTGAAAAAAACTGGATTTACCAAGTACATAAATCATACAGAATTCTTGTTAGAAAGTTTTTTAAAGCCAAAATATGGTCAAAGGAGTGGATGTGGGTGCTGAGCAGCCAAAAATATAACAGATATAATCTATATCTGTATCTATATTTATTTGTTTTTACTACCAACGTCCAATGCCATTTAATTTGGGGACAGTCTTCTAGCATAAGGATCTTTGTGGGAGACAAGGCCAGTTATATAGGCTTAAAAAAGTCAAATGCTTGTATTTAGGATTTTGAATCTGCAGGGAATGTTCCAAAGGCACAGACAGCTGGCAGCCAGTGTCCCTGGTGGGGACCTCCTCATCAACTTCCTAACCAGAGCCTTCCTGTGATGTGAACTTGGCTGTCACCAAGAGGCTGTCATCTAAGTGAAATGGGACTGTGGAAGCAAGCTCAGAGATGCTACCCTGGCTCTGAAGACAGAGGAAGGGGCAGGAGCCAAGGAACGCAGATGGCCTCTAGGAACTGCAAAAGATAAGGAAATGGATTCTCCCCTAGAGTCTCCAGAAGGAATGTGGCCCTGCCTGATTTTAGCCCAGTGAGACCCATTAGACTTCTGACCTCTAGACTGGGAGATAATATCTTTGTGTGTTTTAAGGCACTAAGTTCATGGTAATTTGTTACAGTGGTAACAGAAAACAAATACGGGAGACTACTGTAACATTCCAGGAAAAACCTGATAAGAACAACATTTAAGAGAGTGGCAGCACAGGAGGAGAGACCTGGTTTGAAGGACCATTAAGGGGATAGAGATGAAGGACACAGTCAGGAACCAGGGGTGTGTATAGGGTTGGGTGGTGAGGGCCAGACAGAAGCTAAAGGCAATTCCCGGTTTCTCTCTTGGACAAATGGTCAAAACGAGGGAAAGAGGCCAGTGTAATGGTGAGTGTGAATGGGCGTGAAAGTGCATGTGAGAGTATGTGTGAGTGTGAGAGTGTGTGTGTGAGAGAGCATGTGAGTATAAGAGTGAGAGAACATGTGTGAGAGATAGTGTTGTGTGTGAGACTACGTAAGGGTGAATGAGAGAACGTGAGTGTGAGAAGTGTGTGGGTTATGTAAGCAGGAGAACATGTGTGAGAGAGTATGTGAGTGGGAGTGGGAGAGCACGTGTGTCTGAATGAGAGAGCGTGTGAGTGTGTGGGAGTGAGAGATGTGTGTGAGAGTGTGAGAGAGTGAGAGCGTATATGAGTGAGAGAGCATGTGAGTGTAGAAGTGTGTGTGGGTGTGTAAGTAGGAGAACATGCGTGAGAGAATATGTGAGTGTGAGTGTGTGAGAGCACATGTGAGTGAGTTATGGCTGTGTGAATGAGAAAACGTGTGTGAGAGCACAAGAGTGTGAGAAAGTGTTGGAGAGCGTGTGTAAGGGTGTGTGCAAGAGCACGTGAGAGCATGTGTGACAGAGTGAATGAGAGTGTGCATGCGTGTGAGCAAGTACAGGAAAAGGAGGCAGATCTCTTCTCATACTACTCAGCTCCTTTCTTTCAATTCCATTTTTATCAAGAAACCTTCTAATCTTAACTCTCAAGCTTTCCCTACGGGGAAAAACTCATGCTCACCAGCCAGCACAAACAGCTGCTCTGCTTGTCAGTTATATTTTTCAATCTAAATTAATGAATTGCCATTTTAGTCCTAAACCAGGCTCCTGTGAGTTTGGTCAGACCAAAACAATTTACCAGGGTCTGATTTCTCCCAGATGAGCTGACAGAGTTGAGTTTCTGCCCCTGCAAAGTGGAGTATCAGACCCTGAACCACGGTGACCCCAATTATGCCTCCTTACGTGGCACAGCTTCCCTGCACCCGTGGCTGGAAGGGATCGGGAGAAAGACTGTGGGAGAGGCTGCCTCCTGCTTTACCCCTGCGCCAAGCCAGTAGAGAATCTGGAGGTTGTGTGCTTGCAACTCAACAGCTACTTATAGTTCACACTGAGATTCCCTCAGATATACCAGGGACCTTGTTTCCAGAGAACCCAGCCCTGTCTAGATGCCCTGCTTAGCAGATGCAAGACCAGGCAAGCAGTTCAGGGAAACTGAGGGAATGAGGGGGTGAGTTCCTGTTGCAGTTGACCTGGAGGTGGCTGGTTTTCATCATAAAGACATCCTGGAAAATCTGAGAAAGAAAGTGACTTTCAGATACACTTTATTTCTTTACCTGTGGCAAACTTCCAAAATGACTTCTGAGTAAAAGAGGGAAAGCAAAGACCCTTTGTCCCTCACAACACTAGGGGCCAGGATTGCTGATATCCACCCCTCTGATTAGGAAACCAAGGCTCTTGGAAGTTAAGCTTTTTTCTTTTCTTTTCTTTTTTCTTTCTTTTTTTTTTTTTTTAATTTATTTGCGAGAGAGAGTGAGTGGGAGACAGCATGAGAGGGGAGAGGGTCAGAGGGAGAAGCAGGCTTCCCCCTGAGCAGAGAGCCTGATGTGGACTTGATACCAGGACTCCAGGATCATGACCTGAGCAGAAGGCAGATGCTTAAGCACCTGAGCCACCCAGGTGCCCAGAAGTTAAGCTTCTTGTCCAGTATATCATCCATCAAATGTCAGAGCCCGCACTTGACTTCAGACTCCTGATGCCCTAATCCACATCCTCTGTAGTCTGACCTGGGTTTCTGTCCCACAGGACCTGGACGTCTTTTCCTCATCAGCCACCCCATGCAGGTGTCTGATGATTCTCCTGCTTAGAGGAACCATCCAGCAACAATACAATCCTTCAACTGTAAGTACTCCAGATTCCCTTCCTACATGCTCAGCCCTCCGCTGGGTGCTGGGGAATCGGATGAAAGATGATGACCAGCTCTTGTTCTTGAAAAGCTTATAAAGCAACAGAGTTTAAATCACAGGGTACTCAGGTCACACAACTGGAATGGGAATCATCACCAAAGTCACAGAGGCAGGAGGGCCCTGTGGTGGACCATCTCCCAGTAACCGTGGTCTACACAGTGTTTTCTAGACAAGGAAACTGAGGCTCAAAGAGGTAAAGTCATTTGTCTCAGGCCATACAGTGGTATGTGGCAGCCTGGGTGGCCTGTGATCCCTGATTCCATTTCCTTTTGCCATACCTCCCTTCCATTTCTCTGGTTCTGCAGGGGTCTAGACATGGGGAGGACTCCTGGACCAAATGAGGCAAGTCTCATGAGAAGAAAGGTAAAGGAAGGGTTCCTTTGCCCTGCTACCAGTGCCTGCATCACAGGCCATCCTCCTCCTCCCACTACTTCACACCCAGCTTCTCCAAGACCATCAGGACCCCACCAATAAGTGCTACTTACATATTCTTTAATGTCCTTCGATTTCACAGCCTTGTAGGAATAATATGCAGGGTAAAGGGTGCCAAATATAAGCCTGGAGGGAAAAGGGAGAAAAAAGAGAAATGTGATTTTCTTTCATCCTATTTGATGGAAAATGTCTGTTTTCAATGCCGAAAGCAGTTCTCCAAGCAACAGAGATGCGGATTTGTGGCCTGATCTAGCTTTATGAATGCGCTGAAGGTTTCTTCTCGTGGTTGAGCCGTGCTTAGGAACCTCTGTCCCGTTTCAACTTCACACCCATCTTCCTTTAGTCTGTGATTTGGCAACATAAAAGAGTGATTCGGGGTCATGGAAGCCAAAAATGGAGGTGAGAGTGGGGGTGGGAAGCCAAGCTGAGCAGCCCGTGGCCTCTGAAATTAAAGGTCAAACTCTCCTCTCCTGCTGCTAATCCCCACTGATGCTCTGTAAAGCCCACCCACACCGTCGGCTTCCTTTTCCAAAAAAAAAAACCTTTCCACTTAAAGTTCCTTCAAAATTTCCCTCCCCTCACACTGGATTCCAGCATCCTGCAGTCAGAATCAGTCTTTTAAATTCTAGACACACATCCCAAACCTGCGTTGACTGGCTTCTCTCTGCCGTTAAGAAGGAGGAGGAAATAAAATGACAGCACATGACTGTCTAGGTACCAGCTCTCACTGGCCATGCCCATGGCTGCACGAGATCACTAAATGGTTTGACTCTCAGCCAGCCCCCATAGTTCTCCCAGCCCTCATTCTCTCCACCTGGCCCCATCCCCTCGCAAAGCCTTTGCCTCTGCTGTTCTCGCTTTCTGGAATTGTCTCTTTCTCTTTCTTTGCTGGTTAATGCCTGTTCATCCTTCAGATCCCAGCTCCATCATGCCTTCTTCATAGAAGACTTCCCTGACCTCTCCGACTAGGTCAAATCTCCTATGACACAAGGTACACATTATCAAAATGCTGTTTTACGACTAGCTGTGACGCTCTCTGATTGACAGCCTCTCCCAATTGAACTATCAGTGCCTTCGGAGCGCAGAATGAATCCGCTTTGTTCAACAATGTGTTCTCAGTGCCTATCCAATGGAAGGCTCTCAATGGATATATATTTTTTAAAGATTTTATTTATTTATTTATTTGTCAGAAGAGAGAGAGAGCACAAGCAGGGGAAGCAGTAGGCAGAGGCAGAGAGAGAAACAGGCTCCCCGATGAACAAGGAGCCCAATATGGGACTCCATCCCAGGACCCTGGGATGAAGACCTGAGCCGAAGGCAGCGGCTTAAATGACTGAGCCACCCAGGCGCCCCTCAATGGATATTTTTAAGTGAATGAACTGACAAAATGTTAGAGCTGGAGGGGTTTAATCCTTTCATAAGACAGATGAGGTCACCTCCCAGGTGTAAGCTGTCTGGGAACAGAGCCACCTTGGTCCCAGGCCTCACAGGAGCCAACATCTCCTGTAACAGCCCCACAGATGGAGCTTCTAGGACCCCTGCAAGGAGGTCCCTGCAAGGAGACACCACACTCCGGAAGCCCAAACCCATGGCTTCCTCATCAGGTTATTTAAAGGTCATACAGAGAACCCAGGCCAGATTCAATGTACCAAGCAGGGGTCGGCTTTCCCATAAGATCTGTGGCCAGGTGACACCTTGACCTTCCATATTTATCAGGTTTCCAGGGAAAAACAGAAGGTGAATGGAACTGAGTCAGTTTCTGATGATGAAAGAGAAAGGGTTTTGTAACCTTGACTCACACGGGCCTTTCACCAAGTCCTGTATAGGCATCACTGCAGTTCTCAGAATGGCCTGGTAAAGGAACCTCTTTTATAGACAGGATACCAACATGTGGAGCCCTTAGTCACTTGCTTGACTAAGGTTGTGGGACCATAAGGAGAAAAGCAGGGGCTAAGACCCAGCCAGCTTGGCCTCCTCCAAGCCTGGCTTCTCACCACCACTGTCTACTGCTTTGGAGAGCAAGGCCATCCTCTGGGAAGGCCAGAATTATGCCTGGGGAGCAAGAGAAGCCAGCAAAGGGGACAAAAGAGTAGTCTGAAAACAAGGGAGAGGGAGGAAAAGAATTTAAGAAAGAGAGAGAAGGCAACAGTGTCAAAGGCAGTGGGCGGGCGGAGGGGAAAACACTTCACGGAGGAGCCTGCTGGGTTCAGTCATGAGGCAGCTTGGTGAGGGAGGTCCCTCCAACCACTCCACCCTGCCCCAGCCCCAAGCATTCTCGGATATCAGGGAGTCTTACTTTCCTAGGAGGCCTTTCCTGACCTTGTCATACCCCCCAACCAAGACTAGCTTCCTCTCGCTGTTCCATAGCGTCGTGACTCTGGACGTCGCCCTTTCCTAGCCCTGATCCACACCACTTGCCATGGTTTATTCAGTGTCTGTCTCTCCTATAAGAATATACGCTTCCCAAAGCCAAGGATGGCATCTTTCTCATTCATAACCGCCCCTGGGGGGCCTAGCAAGTGTTCAGGAAGTACATATTCACTGTGTGACATTTCAGAGAGTGGTGAAGCAAAAGCCAGAGCCCTCCAGGGGACACCTGTGACCTTGGAACTGAGGTCTGAGCATCCCGGGGGACGCCAGACGGCACCAGGCTGATTCAGCAAAGCCTCAGGCACGGTGCCACAGGTTCCGGAGAAATAAACACGCCGCTCCTTGGCACAGATGCCCCGGTTATTAGCACGTCTGCCAGGATGGTTCTCAGCCCCTGCCCTGAGGCAGCATGTGAGCTGCCGAAAAAAGAGAATTGGGAAATCCATCATGACCCCAGGCTGGCTGGATGATCTGTTCCTCTGCGAGCTCCAGTGAGGAGACAGGAACACCAATGCCATTAGAGCGGTCACATAACTGGAAATGCCCAAGGGCACCCAGACAAGAGAGGGCGTGCTCTGTCTGCCGGGCTCCTGACGTGAAGTGGCCGCCCATGTCCCCCTGTGTGCCACCCCACCCCATATATGACAGCACGGGGACAGCAAGACGGATTTGCTTCTCAGTCTCCAAAGGCTCAATAATGCCTCCTGGTGAGCTTAGCACTTCACTGCTCAGGGAAAGGAGAGTGGGATTCAAATGGCAAGTTCTTCCTAACCCGTTCTGGAGAAAAGAAAGAACAAATGAAGCACAATCCAAGCCAAAGGGTTTGGGCACTTAGGTCCGTTCATACCAAGTCCCTTCTCCAGCAGCCCCAGGCGCCTTCCTTCCCAGCCTGATGGGCCCCCCCCCCCCGCCCGAGCCTCCCAATCTCACGGCCAGCAGCTGTCCCCTCTAAGCCGTGCTGTCTTGCTCACAATCTGTGACTTCCTGCCCCCGTCTTAGTGCGTGATCTTTCCACAACTCCACAATGCTTTTCCTGATAAAGTCCCACTAATCCTTTAAGACCCAGCTCAAAAAAGCCACGTGAATCTCTGGTCACTTGTCCCTCAGAATTTTCTGGGCGCTCTACTACAGACTTTATGTAGGAGTTTTAATAATAAATCGTTAACAATAATGATGGCAATATCACTGAGTGCTCACTAATGCCAGGCACTGCTGTACGGGCTGGACACGTTCTCGCATGTCAGTCCCTCCGTGCCCAATTGGGGTAAGAATTCTCACTACTCCATCTCACAGACTGGGACACCGAGGCCAAAGGAGACAGAGGAGGCAGGAAGACAGGTGGGATGTGAACCTGACGAGAGGCAGCCTGACAATAGGGCCCTTCTCCTTTCTCCTTCTGGGGTGGCCTGTACTGGCTGAGTCGTCTCTCTGGCCAGACCACGCAGTCCTGGTAGAGTCAGGTGGGGTCCCTAGTGCCTGGCACAGCCCCTCCCCAAGTGGGTACCTGCTAAGTGTCTATTGAGTGAATAAAGATCAAAGAATTGCAATCGCTCTCCAAGGAGCTTAACCCACTTGACAGATTCACATCCCTCTCCCCACAAGGTCAGGAGGAAAGCACTGACATACTTAAGAGGATCTAGAGTACTTAAGCGCTCAAGGCTGATCCCAGAAGAGGGACAGTGGAAGGCTTGAGTGCCTCCCTCTGGAGAGGAGACCAGGCTCTGGCTAACATACTCCTCCCAGTTATTACTGGACAGAAGCTCACACCGCACCCCCCAGCCTCAGAGCCCTGCACCCACCCTCCCTTCTCACCACTGTCATTTACTACTCGCCTAGAGCCCTCACCCCTTACTGCCTCCATTTACCTGCCTGACACATTTCTCCTGTCTCTGCCCTTCATTCAGTCTCTTGCTCTAAGTTAGGGGTCTTCATCCAGGGGTTGCCTCCCCAACCACTTCCACAGCTGTCATATCTACAAGGGACCGAGAGTCTCATCTTCTAAGGCAAGGGTTCCCAGCCAGGGTGACTTTGTTTCCCCCAGACATCTGGGTGATGCCTGGAAATACGCTGGTTCCCACACTGAGAGAGTGCCAGTGGCATGAGGTGGATGGAAGCCAGTGACGCTGCTAATCATCCCACATTGCACAGAACCCCTCCCCCTACCCAACAAAGAACAATCCAGCCCCCAAAGCCAAAAGTTCCAGAGTGGAAAAACCCTGGTCTAGCGTGTTATTTCCCAGTCCTTGGCCATGGATTCTTCACCCAGTCATCAAGGACAATCCACTCCCAGGAGTTTTTTTTTTTTAAATGCCCAGTGTCCCAGGCAAGACAACAGATGCTCAGATAGGAGGAAACAATCCCAAATGGCAAAGACCACATACCTATCCCATAGGTCAATGTCAGGGAAAATGCAACTCTGCAGCTACTTATCAATTTCCTGGAGCTCTGGCCAAGGGAAGAGAGGTATTGTTCACGTGAATAGACCATAACTACAATGCCAGTTACATTCACCAAGGAGGAGTGCTTACCACTCCTGGAGCCTGCAGGGCAGCAAGTGCTGGCCTGCAGCTCAAGTACAAGCTGTGACACAGGTGGCTGCTAACCTTGGCCAAGACTTCTGCAAACAATGAAACACAGTGTTTTTCACAGGCTTCTCAGGCATCCTAGTATTGGAGTAACATTTCCCAATCCGAAAATATGATGAAAAAAAATTTTTTTGAAAAGATGTATTTATTTTAGAGAGAGAGTGACATAAA